CCTATCAGTTCTTCAAGATTTTAGGTGACCCAAGCTGACTGAGGCTCTTCTTCACTTTTCCTCAACCCTTTCTAAGAGACGAGATACAACATAGAGCAAATGTACAAAACGCTGACATCAGCTGGTTCGACGAAGTGGTGTCGGATTTAGAAGAAGCCTCAGACTTCTGGCAAGACCCCTTCATGAGCAGAATGACTTTTTTCAGAAGGTCTATTTCCTGTTTTATGATGGTGGACTCAATTCACGTAATTTAGAAAGCCGACCAGTCGAGTTACAGTCTCCTCTCGCCCGAGACGCTACATAATCCTATGCTCCAGACACACCAGACGTATTCCATTTTTGCGGCAGTCTGTCACTGCCGTGACTGGGACAACCTGGACCCTTCCAGACTACTTCCTTCGAGACTGGCTGTGTCTGGCGTCAGCACCCCTTTAGACCAAGTTGCGAGTCTTTACAATCCCCAAGGTCGAGTCCGTGTTCGGCTAAACACGCACAAGCCAGTGGCCGGGATTGGTAGTGCCGTGGTGGGCTATGGCCCGACACTAAACCGCGAGAGTGCACTGCAAAGAACTTTTGGACAAACAGCCTCTCCAGCAAAGCCTGAGACTGATTTGCTGTTGAAAAGACGAAGTCAGCCTAGACAGTTTGGAGGCTGTGTCTGAGAAAGAAGCACATCTCACGGCAGCACATACAGCAAAAGGAACTCTTAGAATTTCATTTTCTCTCGTAACGCTTTTACAATTTTTCTCATTCACTTCCTTCGTAGTTTCAGGTCATCAGGGCTACTTGAAAAAGTGTGGAGGCCATTTAGAGCCCGTTTGCATGACGACTCAGAGACTGTCGGATGAGGCTAACCAGAATATACGCAAAATCAGGCAAATGGTCATAGCTACAGCTGCATAGCAATTGAATCGACTGGCAAGCCAACCTGAAAATTGGAATACTTGGTTGTTGGGCTCTTGTAAGTCTTGTCTGATGGGTAGAACAAGTGTTGCGTCAACCATACGGCATCTCGACACTTGGTAGAGGTCGAAAATGGAGGCCTATCTTCGCTTAGTTTCATCACTCCCAACGAATTAGCAGCAATCCGAGACTGCATAAGTTAGCTCGCTTTACAACGGTTCTACCAGGCAACAGTAGACAAGCACAAAATGAGACCGAAAGCGAGACCATCGTTACATGAGCTCATAACCCAAACTATGCATACATTCTATGTCTACCCCAACAACTGTAGGGCAAGACAAATAATCAGAAAAAGTAGACTAGTCGTTTTTTGAGCTGACTTTCTCTACGAGAAAATGTGTGCGATGGCGCGATACCCGAAGGTCAACACCACCAGAAAACGAAGCCAGACTACTCTTAACAACATGTCGTTTGGCTCTAGTTGAAACTTCTGCGTAAAGCTGTCCTCGCGGCAATCGTTTTGGACTATGACGAAAACTGGCTGGACTGTCATTCTTCAGGACACTTGACAAGCATCATCAGAACTGAATAACATTCTTAAAGCGTACTCAAGCACTGAAAAGTAATGACTTTCTCTGAATAGGTCCATCGGGTAGCTGGATAGGTGGAAGCTTATATTCATAATGAAACGGAAGAAGGTCAAAATCATGTGAATAAACCTCATAATGCTATTGGGTTTCGCTTAGCTTTGCCTCTCTAAAGGAGTAGACTTCAGTGCAGACCTTGTGAGGGTCTCATCCGCACCCTCAACAGGAGTCAAGCCTGGATCGTTCATATAAAATGAAACCAAACAACATCTGTCCAAAAAGAATCCACCGCCGTCTTCTGGTGGCTTTAAACGTCCAAGCCCAACATGTAAATCAAAAGATTAATAGGAAACCAACTTTTCTTTCTACATGCACTAATACTACTAATATACTTCATTTTCGCATGTAAGTAGTATTGCGAGACTAATAGAATGTCCACATTATTGTTGAGTGAAATTCCATTTCGAGTGAAATTGTTGGATGAAGAGATTCAAAGGTTGATTCCACCTAAAGACGACGGCGGATTCTTCTTAAACAGCTGCCGATTGGCCTCTTTGATCAAGTATAAAGTGATTTTGTTAGTTAAGGTCATATGTCAACTTCGATGCATGTGAGTGTGTCTGTATCTTTATTCGTATATATACCACTTTTAGGGATTTGCCGGTGAGTTTTCTTGACTCGTTAGCTTCAATTTTGTTGTGACGATGT